TCTGTAATATATGTAACGTATTTTTGAACGCGATATTTTTTCGAAAAGAAGGTCCAGATAAGATTCGATTCGGATTTCAGTTTCTATGATAATTATACCCAAGCTATTTGAAACTTTCGAATCTAAGAGGTTCGAGAATGCACATATATTAACAATATTATAAAATTTTTCTCATTAATAAGTAAAACAAATAGAAATCTTTGTCGTGTATTAAAATTCACTTAACAATAATTATGTCGTTAATTAAAAATTACGTTTCAGAGTGATTCGATTCGAGTAAAATTCTATCGATGAGAGAGAGAGAGAGAGAGAGAGAGAGAGAGAGAGAGAGGCTGAAAGCGGAGTGCTTTGTCACAGCTAACATAGTAACATCCTCGCTCGGAGGCGAGCAAGTCATTCGAGAAGCGCGTGTTTGGCGATCGGAGTTTGCTCGGCGATGTTTGGCGTAGGAGATATCGTTTCCGTGGCGGCGCCGCAGAATTACGCGAGCGCGAGGGACTTACGACGGGCGAGACTGCAATTAAACGTCGAGTAATCGCCGCATTAAAACTCGTTGTCGTGCCACCTGTCCCGGTCTTCTCCGTCGCGCATAGCGTAGGAGCGTGCATTGGAAACACCTTACGGGAAGGTTTGATCGGCGGGTCTGCTAGTACTAGAAAGCTCCGCATCGGGGCGTCGGCGTCGCGAGCGCGCGTGTGCCCTCTCCCTTCCCCTTCCCTCCCTTCTCCGTCGCCCCTTTCTTATTCATTCGCTTTCCTCGCATTATCGCCTCACTTCAGTGCCGTCCGCTGACCACCGCACCGCGGCGTTTCTGCAGCTGCTCCGATCCCGCAGACCCTCCCTTTTACAAATTTCAACTCTCTGTCCCCTCACGCGCGATTTCGTGTGACGATTTCTTTTCGCGAGGTTAACATGATAAAATTGCTCGGGAGAGATATTTCTCTCGTGCAATTAAAGGTGAGGACACGTCTTGTCACGATGTGTTTTTGTTTGTCACTTGTTAAAATTGAATTTTTTGTGTTTCGACGGAGAGTTTAAAAATTATATTCTCCTGATTTGTACACGTATATGTATTTTATATTACGCGCATTGTCTATATTGAGGAATAGTGAACTTTGACAATTCTTCGTTGAAGTATTTTATTTATGAGAAACCACGGTCATAAGTCAAGTCTTTCAATATTCTGATTAAGTGAGCACGCGATTACGTATGATCACGATAGCTAAATTTTATGCTGCTTAAAGCTTATCAGAACCTAATAAAAAATTTGCTTTAATTGCTTAATATCTGATGCAATTAATGCTAATGTTACTCAGAAAATATTTTGCGCTTTTCGCACGTTTTAAATCGCGATGATCTGTGAAATAATTTTACAATTTCGAAAGCTCATCATCTCGATATAAATTCTTTAACGCATCATTATATATTCATCTTGAGAAATTTGAAAATTTTCTATTTGAAAATCTGTATATTTTTATCATTACATAAATACTTTGCGAAATATACACTGAGAAAAATGTCTAGTTAAAAATGGACGAACCAAAAAATTCTAATAATATCAGAATTTCAGTTCTCACTAGAATTTTAATAGATTTAACCAAAAAATTCTGATTTGTCCATTTTCAATCAGAATTCCAATTAATCCAACCAAACATTTTTCTCAGTGTATATATAATCAGAAAATTGAATGCTTAAATGGTGGAATTCTACGAAAGCAAGGTTTTCTTTTTTCTCTCGGATTAAGTTACCCTTTATTTTATCTTCTAAAGATACTAGGCGTGGCGAATTATGCATTTCAATTCGGCGTACTTATAATTCACTCGGTTATTCGATATCGATAGAAAACTCGTCAGACATTCGAACATACATGCATATCCTTTCAACTACTATTTCGGTACGGTTCTATATGTTCGTTCTAATAACTTTTTCCCGATCGAGACGGTTGACCCAATTCTTAACCTCGTGCGACCCCTTATAACCGATAGGGAAGAGGTACCATTTGATTCAAATAAAGATACTCTTTATTCGAGAACCGCTTTAAGCAGTTGAATTTTAATGAGATTAAATCTTATAGTCTGATCGCGCCCTTTTCGCAAATCTTCCTTCATTTTTTGTTAACTAAAAGCAACAGGGCTAAACGGTTTTGTAATATAAACAGAAAATAAATATATTTTTTCCATCATTTAACTTTAGAGTTTATCTTTTTCGTTTTTGCAAAATGTAGGTTAATACCTTGTTGCAGCGAACCCTTAGTTCTATTTACAAATAGTTGAGCGTCACGTTTATTATTCTAATATTATCTTTAATATTATATGTTTCAATAATAAAAATTTTGAACTGATATAATATAGGGATATAAATGTAATATTTCGTAATTTAAAAATCCATATATGAATTTAAAAGCTAGATTCCAATTAATCATCAGTTTAGTCATTTCTAGAATTGAGGTCAGACTCTTTAGGGCACTCTTCATTAAAAATATATGAAAAATATATATAGATACACGGCATTGTATGTGTTTGAATTTTGCAAAATTAATTTGTAGAAAAAAGTGTTATGCTTCTAATCGCTATAAATTCACAGTTTTAATTTTTCATGAACTGTTCTAGAAGGATAAACACATTGAGCTCTTTAAATACCATGTCTCCACATCTAATTAAAATCTGAATCTGATCATAATGAGAGAATTTGTGTCACATTTAAGTATATTCTCATTTCCTTTTCAATTAGAGAACAAAGCTAATAATACAGTAGATCGATGACCCAGCTAATTTAATGTCTTAATCTCGTTGAAGACAGAAAGCTGTCATCTGAAGAAATTTAACTGTTTGTCTGTATATAAAAAAATTAAATTTATATTTTGAATTGCATTTCGTTAATCTTTCGTTGATTTAAAAAAAGTGACACAGATCCTCGCATTTTTAGGCCACGTATTCATAACGTGATATACCAGTGATATATATTCTCTTATAAAATATCTTCGCTATAAAAGCACAAAATTCATCTTTACATAGAATAATCTCCAAATAGCTCGCGCGGCCGAGAAGCTGAGAACCGTATCGAGAGTGTGTCAAAAAGTGGACTTGTCCCGCTTTTTTTTACGATTCGCAGCATCCAATTGAATTCAATTGGAGCCAATCGCTCTCGCCGGAGAACGTTCCGAAATCACCGGCGCTCTCGGTTGCGCGCCGCATACGAAATCGTGGGAAGCGATGATCGACGATGAAATTTTCGCCGAAGAAATTCTCTCGTCGAAAGAGTGAAGGAGTCTGCGAGAGCGGGAGAAAGCGCACACGGTGGTCTCCGGGGGGCAGCTCGGGGCAGCTCGGGGCAGCTCGGGGCAGCTCAGAGTGTATACCCGTGTATACCAGCCGAGCATGTAGCTGTGCTGGCGACGGCGAGCGGTTGAAGTTCCGTGTATCCACGATCGGCGCTGGATGCGCCGCCCCCGGCGCCGCTGCCGAGTGCGG